GTTCAGCACCAAAAACATTAACTGTTAACTTCCTTAAGGCATTAACTTTACCATACAGTTAAGGATACCTGTCTGGGAAAAGATAGTGCTTAAGAAATCTAGATACTGAAACAGCATGATTTCTAACTAGAAATTGCCTTGGTCGTGATAGAAAAAAAGTCCAAGTTAGTTAGGTCCTCAGCCTTTAGGCCTAGAATTAAAAAGAGCCACTGCTATAAAGTGGAAATAATATTCCCTAGTAGGTTGAAGTTCACATTCCCAGTCATGAATCTGCAATATATAAAGACCAAAAACAAATTCCTTTTTCTCTGGAGGCTAACCAGGAACACAGGATTCCAGGAATTGGAACAATCTTGAGCTCTCCATTCTCCTTCTGGGTAAAGACAGGACAGCCCACAGGCAAGGGAACATCATAAACTTTGGGGATTCAAAAACAGGCTGGCCACCCTCATCACCAGTATTTGAATTCCTCTTCCTAATTTCCTTGTTCTGGTGTACCCTTTAACCTTGTATGATTGCTCACCCCAATATCCTCCCCCCCTTCTTTTCTGTCTTCTAATGGGCTTTACCTGCTTTTATCTACTTATGTCATGACTAGCAGGACTGCAGCACACACAAGGGAAAATTTAGTTCTTAGTGTCCTAAACCGTGAAAGAGAAGGGAAAGCAATTCTGTTCTCAGGTGGAGATAGGAAAGATTTTGGAGATAATAGAATTTTACCCTTATAAACAACTTTGACTCGTTTCCTGGATTGGCAACACATCAGGAATCTCAACGGAGCTAGGAACACTAATCTCCATGCCTACCCTACTCATGGTAACATAGGAACTGGTTGGGGTGGTTATGGTTTTAAGAGATTATTCTTTGGTCTAAACAGCCTCTTACCAACTTCCATTGACAAGTTGAGCTCAAACCCATTACCTCTCCTTTCAGGAGGAGCCACGGTACACAAGACTCAACTCTTTTGAAGGCCTGGCACCATCATTTGTGTAACTATTTCTACTTAAAAAAAAAAAAAATCACATCTTAGTTTT